ATGGGAAGAGTAGAAAGAGTAGAAATTGAATCCCAATATCTTCAGATTTACCCTGACCCCAGCCATACAGAGGCCACCTTAGTCCTTTCCAGTGAGGCAGCAGCTCTCTACTTCCTCTGTGCCTTTCTTGAGAATCAACTTTATCTTGCTGGGCGGCACAGCTCACGCCTGCAATTCCAGCACTTTGGGAAGCGGGGGTGGGCTTTTCACTTCAGCCCAGGAGCTCCAGACCAGCCTGGGTAACATGGTGAGGCTCCCACCTCCACACAAAATTGAAACATTAGCCAGGTGTGGTGGCGTGCAACTGTAGTCCCAGCTAAGATTGTGCCACTAGACTCCAGCCTGGGCAACTGAAAAAGACCCTATATCAAACAAAACAAAACAAAAAACATCTATTTCCCCTTGCTACCTGCTCACTGGCCTCAGGCCCCCTAAGACCCTCTGGAGTCCTATCATCCTTTGCTCTTCCCCACTCTCCCAAGAACTCTGCCCAGGTAGTACCATGCATGGCCTCTCTCCTCAGGACCTACCCACTGCTCTGTGCCTCTGGTGCTTGGAAATCACTAGAAGGCTATGGCCATTCCTTTCTGGGATCTTCCTAACCTTTCAGACTCCAACACCAGACTTCCTCCCAGCCCCACACCACTGAAGGGAACTCTGATTTTCGACTCAAAGGCATTCCCTCTGCTATGATGTTCAGCCTCAGAGGCATCTGAGTGTGGGCTTTAGCCAGAGGTCAGCAGATTGTCTTTTGCTGTTGTGCTCCTCCCCTAAGGCAATTGATTTAAACAGGTCCATCTTCCTTGAATGGAGGTGGTAAGGGGAAAGTTCAGAATTTTTTTAAGTGAAATACGCAAGGGAAGAAAACATCAATTAGTATCTCAAACTATTCTAATAGTTGTGTTTACTTGTATCTCCAGATCACTCTGTTGTACCCCAGACAGACTCTAATATCAACTGCCAACTCATCATGTACACTTGGATATCCAAGGGAACATGATAGGATGTAATTTTTGCCATTTTGAGCATTAAAAATTTTCAGTGGCACCGAACTCCTGACACAAAGGAGAATTAGAAATAACCTCCAATCTACACTTGAGCAAGACATACATGGTTTGTTTCTGAGGAGAAAACATCATCTTTCTAGTATCTCCTCACCACAGAGAAGAACCCTACACCAACTGGGGACCTGGGTCCTATGTGCTGAGAGCTACAGAGCAGGGAGTAATGTCCTGAAAGCATTAGGGGAGGGCTGTCAGGTGGATAGTGATGGCTTTGATTGTCAGTTGGAGGGTGCTATGCTAATTAGGAATTTTGTGACTTAAACTCAAAAAAATATTTTTTTAAAATTAAAGAAACATTTGTAGAGGCAGGTTCTTGCTATGTTGCCCAGACTGGCCTCAAACACCTGGCCTCAAGCAATTCTCCCATCTCAGCCTCCCAAAGGGCTGGGATTGCAGGTGCGAGCCACCATGCCAAGCCAAGAAATAATACTTAAGAGCCCAAGGCATTTGTTAAATTTGTAGAATGGAATTATATATATATATAATATATGTACATATAATTTGTATATAAAATATAAATTATATGCACATATATAACATTATTACATGCAGATATATACATAAGAAATATAAATATATTACATATTATATATTATATATACTAAATTTGTGGAATGTAATTATATATGCATATATGCATGTATATATGTGTATATAACATATATAATATAGATACTATATAATATATACATATACACATATGTGTATATATGTATATGTTTAGATGTACATGTGTTATATAATTTATGTAATTATATATTATATATACATACTATATTTATTATATATGTAATTATGCATTTTTAAAATATATATATTGGTTGTAGGGATGGAGGTGAGAGAAATCTGTCCATCAACAAAATAGGAATAAAATTCCTAGTGCCAACTAAGGCAGAGGGCAGATCTTTATACTTTCGGGGATCAATTCTACAGTAGGTTACTAGAGAAATGTTTCTGAACAGAGTAGGGAGAAATCTCAATGAAAAGCTGCAGTAGCCCTTCTGAGCAAGACTGGCAGGTAGGTGGTGCCACCTGGTGGTAGCCACTGCTTGCTGTCGATGACTGCTCTGCTCCTTGGGCAAGGATGAGAGAGAGAGAGAACACAAGCTGCAGGGTTCCTTTCTGATGTAATTGCTTGTATTTTGTTCTTCACTCTTAGGGATTGTTCCTTTCACTTTTCCATAAAGGAAAGGGGTAACATCTAGTATCTTCTTTATTTCAGTTTTCTTATGGCAATACTAAAGATGCATTTGGCAACAAAACTCTCAAAAAGATAAATTGAAGTTGTATCTCTTTCTTGGTTTGCTCACCCTTCACCAAACATGTCCTTTGTCAAGTAAAGCAGTTAGTTCTTTGCTTATTTTTATATAACAATATATGATACTATTTTAATTTTAAACATGTCTTCTCACTAAACATCAGTACATATGTATCTAATTAGTTTTTATCTTCTGTACAGTATCTTAAGATATGAATAAGTTATAGTATATTTATTTAGCCAGTGATGTGCCATAGTATATTTAACCATTGGTTTTCTCTCAGATTTTTCAATTCTTTGCTAGAACAAGCAGTGCTTGCAATGAACATCGTTGTATGTTTTCTGCATATCCATGAGTTTTCCTTGAAAGTAAATAAGATGTGGAATTGCTGGGTCAAAGAGTATCTATATTTTAAATTCTAAGCTACTACCAAAATTTCTTTCAATTCACCACTGAGATTTTATACCCCCTGTCAACTGTGTATGGAGTAAATATCTGGTCCCCACTTCTGTTCTTTCTCTCTGCCTCTTTCTCTCAGTCTCGCTCTTTCTCTCTTTCAACCTGGACAGAAGAAATAATATCTTATTACTGCTCTAATTTAATTCCCCTTATTACTAACTAGATTGAAATTATTATATTTCATGGCCATTCATATTATTTTCCTCTGCAAATATTAATATATATATATACAGTTCAGTACTGAATTGTGCATGTTTTTCTTTTTTGCATACAGGTCTTTGTATATTCTGGATATTAATTCTTGGTTGGACCAGCCTAGTCTTTAATTTTGTTTATGATGTGATATTCAGAAGTTATCAATATTGATATAACCAGGTTTATCAATCTCTTCTTTCATGTTTCTTTAAATTTATGTTTTAAGAAGACTTTACATACCTTTTTTCTATGACTTTATATTTATTCAACAATCAAGTATATGTTTCTATAAATGGTTCAAGGATCTACCTTAACCTTTTCCTGAGTATATAAACACTATTTGTTGAATAGTTTACCTTTCTGAACTGATTTGAATAGGCACTTTTTTCACATACTAAATTTTTAATGTATTCAAAGGTCTTGAGTTGAGAAGAAATATCTAATTTTTTACTTTTTAAATCTTTATTTTTATTTAAAAAAAAATTTCGAGACAGAGTCTCGCTCTGTCACCAAGGCTGGGATGCGGTGGTGTGATCTTGGCTCACTACAACCTCCGCCTCCCAGGTTCAAATGATTCTCATGTCTCAGCCTCCCGAGTAGCTGGGATTACAGGCATGTGCCACCACACCTGGCTAATTTTTTGTATTTTTAGTAGAAATGGGGTTTCACCATGTTGGCCAGGCTGGTCTTGAACTCCTGACCTCAAGTGATCCACCCGCCTCAGCTTCCCAAAGTGCTGGGATTACAGGTGTGAGCCACCATGCCCAGCTTAAATTTTTATTTTTTTAGAAACATGTTCTCACTCCGTTACCCAGGCTGGAGTGCAGTGGCACGATCATAGCTCACTGCAGCCTCAAACTCTTAGGCTCAAGTGATTCTCCCATCTCAGGGTCCTCATAAGCAAGGACTAAAGGCATGCACCACTACAACTGGCTATTTTTTTTTCTTTTATTTTTGTAGAGGCAGGGTCTCGCTGTATTTCCCAGGCTGGTCTCAAACTCCTGGCCTCAAAGGATCCTCCTGCCTTGGTCTCCCAAAGTGCTAGAATTACAGGCATGAGCCACTGTGCCTAGCCCTGAGAAGAGATACGTTGAAGTAGATATGCAAGTTTGGGAGAAATTGGCATTTACATGATATTTGGAGGATGTAACAAGTGAAATCAGTCTCCTAGAGGTACTGTGTAGAATTAGTAGAAAATAAAGGTGATAGAAGACACAGTTGAAGGAGGACATGGCATGGGGTAAAGATACAATGTGTGCTGCATCAAAGCTCCCTAGGGGAGCTGCATTCCTACCCTAGGAGGGTATAGAAGCCCCACCCAAAGCACAGGCTCCTGCCTTCAGATTTTGCTCAGATCACCCCAATGGCTCCAGTGGCTCTAATTTGTCCTTTCACATCCCTGAGTCCCTGACCAGAACTTAACTCCTTTCTAGCACCACTCGCCGAAGGAGAGGTTGGTTCCTACAATTAAAAGGTACTATCCACATTTCCAGCATTCAGGCCACAGATGCAAAAAAAATCATATGGGGCCAGGGCACAGTGGCTCATGCCTGTAACCTCAGCACTTTGGGAGGCCATGGTGGGTGGATTGCTTGAGGTCAGGAGTTCAAAACCAGCCTGACCAACATGGTGAAATCCCATCACTACTAAAAATACAAAAATTAGCTGGGCATGATGGCACATGCCTGTAGTCCTAGCTACTTGGGAGGCTAGGGCACAAGAATTGCTGGAACCTGGTAGGCAGAGGTTGCTCCAGGCTGGGTGACAGATTGCGCTATTGCACATTGCACTCCAGCCTCCACAGAGGGAGACTCTGTCCGAAAAAAAAAATATAGATAGATAGATAGATAGATAGATAGATAGATAGATAGATAGAATGTCAGAAACATTTTGCACAAATGTACAATTGTCCTTCTGAAAATGCCAAGAACACATTATTTGAGAAACCCCAGAAGAGAGATTGCTAAGGAAGCATTTGCAAATCTACTGGGAAAATGAAGACTGAACCAGAGCAGTGGCAAAGGCTCCAGGGGAAAGAATGGGTTGAAGAATTATTTATGGGGTAGTCTCCACAGGACTTGGTCTCAGTTGGATGATCAGGGTAAGCAAGAGGGAGGAGTCAATGAAGATTCCCGAGGATATGGTATGTGCAGCTGGGTGACTGTTTCATCCAAGATAGAAATACAGAGCAGGTCTGCTTAGGTAGGAAATGTTAATTTAGTTTAGAACATTGTGAATTTGAGGTCACTGTGGGGAGACTGTATGGGGATGCCCAGCAAACCAAGAGTCTCTGCACATGTAAGAAACAGGTATGGAAAACATTCACACACGAGAGACAGGGAACAGGCAGGCTTAGAAACCACTCATGGACTACCTGTTCACATGGATTAGTAGCATCTGAGGGAAATGCTCCAGCAACACACACAGACCCCTGGTTCCTAAGCCAGCCATGGTACCCCAGGGCAGCTTACCTGGGACCTTGAGAATCCAGCATGCGGAGAGTCCAGGCTGATCTTGAGTCTCCATGTGGGCCCTCCCTGATGTGGAGCTGAACCAAACCTCGGCAAGCTGAGTACAAATTCAGTAACGCTGGAGCCTTCATAACCCATGTCTCTCCTGGGGAAAATAGCAGGGAGTAGGAAAGACAGTGAAACTAACTTATCATCAAGTTCTATCACATGTGCATGGGTGGCCACAACTATGGGATCTCACTTAATGTCATCAAGGACATGAACTTGATATGGATTATGATCTTTTCAGTGTTATATGAAATCCTCAGCAAATTCAACTTCGCCCTCTCCCTACCTACAGACTACTGCATCTAGCTCCTTCTGCAACAAAAATCTGGGCTGCCACCAACCCCATCATTGATGCTTCCTGGAGCTCATATTCTTGTCCTGAAGCCTCGCCAGGGATGTGATGTTGAGTCCAAGTGGGAAGGGTTCTCAGAACATTGCTCTTGGCTGAAAGGGACTGGCCTGTGACTGGCTGTCAGGCCATGATTTAATGGGTAGCAGTGTGGCCCCTGCCTCTGCCTTCCTAAGAAATTCTACTCAATATCGCTCAGGAGGAAAATTGCTCTGTTCATTTCTTTTGTTTCTGCTCACATATTCTTCTGTTGGCTTTGGAGCACTCCTGAGCTTTTCCTTCTTTTTCCCTGTTTGGTAGTCTCCCTTACAGGCTAAGGACTGAGTCCTAAGACTCACTTTCTCCTTTCCATGACAGTAACTACTCTCTCTCCAATGTCAAACCAGGGAAGAGATTCACGATTTAAGACAGGCCTTGCTGAGTCATTCACAGAGGGCTTTCCAAAGGGAGTAGCACTTATGCCAAATGGGTGAGATCAAACCACTTCTGGCACTCTCTGCCTACATTTTTCTTTTTATTTTCAAAACATCTTTGTTCAGTTTTTCAAAATGTAGTTCTGTAACCACCTGTATCCAATGCTCCTGGGACACCTGTGAAAATTGCAAATTCCTGTGCTTTACCCCAAACCAGACCTATTCAATCCAATCTCTGAGGGTGGAGCTTAAGACTCTCCAGGTTAAACAAGCACTCAAGCACATTCTTAAGTTCACAAGATTTGAGAACTACTGTTATAGGCTGAGAATTTTGATAATAAATTAACATCTTGTTTTATTTAATTCAGCCTCAAAATATCTCAGACTAGTGCAAGGCTGGAATTTTTCTTTTCTTTCCTTTTTTTTTTTTTTTTTTTTTTTTCCCCTTATTTTCTTCTTAACAGCAAAAGGATTTCTTCAAATGTGATCTCAGCCAGAGCTGCTCTGGCTGGGGAGGGAAGAGGTAAGGATTGTTGTTCCACCCTCTGATTTCTGCCTTAGCAAACTTTTCCTCTTCCCGGCCCTGAAAAGCACAGATGTAGGGATTTGATAGGCCTGGTTTGAATCAAACACTCATCACTCATTTAGCTGAGCAAAGTGACCTCGGGCAAGTTATTAAACTAATGTTCCTTCTATAAATTGGGAACCATTAATAATAGCTAACACAGAGAGTTCTCTCGAGCATGCCCTTGACCTGAACGCACTCCCTTGGTTGGCTGGGTACCAAGGCCCATCAGACTGGAGCCCTCAGCTTTTGTCTCGTCTGTAGAGGCAACGGTAGGGCGTAGCCTCAATCGAATACTGTTTAGATTTCTGCCACATCAAAGGCTTATTCACTACAAAATTTTGTCCCTACAATCGCCAGTATTTCATATCTTTTCTGATAAGCTGGCCTAAGGAATGTTAGTGCTATTGGCTAAAATCTAGTGGCCAGTAATCGGCTATTTTTGTTTGTTTGTTTTGAGACAGGGTCTCTCTCTGTCACGCAGGCTTGAGTGCAGTGGCACAGTCATGGCTCACTGCAGCCTCAAACTCCCAGCTTCAGGCAATGCTCCTGCCTCAGCCTCCTGAGTAGTTGGGATCACAGGCACACGCCACCACACACAGCTAATTTTTTAAAAATGATTTGTAGAGATAGGAGTCTTTCTATGTTGCCCAGGCTGGTCTCCAACTCCTGGGTTCAAGCAATCCTCTTGCCTTGACCTCCCAAAGTGCTGGGATTACAGGCATGAGCCACCATGCCCATAAAACTTTCTTAAATAAATACTAATCAATAGTGTTCAAAACACTCTTCTCTAAAAATAAAAACAACTTGTTGTTTCAAAGCATTTGCTAAGACAGTATGTTGCTGCAGTTTTCCAAAACGTCAATGAAGTAATCACTTTATCACTAGCAAAAAGTGAGTGGTGTGTTTTACAACTAATAAAAGTGACATGGCTACCCTGTGAGGGATTATTTCCAAAGTGTGTTACTGGAGAGGTATTTCTGGACCTGCAGCTCACTTGTACCAACAGCATTAATACTCATACCTTAGCGTTAATGCTGAGAGCACGCACATGGCTAACCTGGGCTGTCACCTAAGTACTGTTCTCTTTTTCCTTTGGGCAAGTGAAAGGCAGAGAATACAACCTAAGTCATTAACTTCTAAGATCTAAGTTTTAGTTAGTTGTTCAATCTGGACCTTTTCATCCTTTTTAAAAAGACTATCAAGAGATCTGTTGATGTTTTCTTGTATAATTTATTCATTTTTTGTTACATTTTTAAAATCACGAGTGTATCTTTGCTAATAATTTCAAGGGATATAAGCATGTTCAAGCATTCTACACAGATCAAGCAATTATTTTTCCTGCAAATTTAATTTTGAATGGTAATATAGGGTTTTGTTTGGCCATTTTTTTTAAAACACACACACACAGACACACACACACAAATTACATATTTTAGTCGACTAACAGCATAGCAAACACTTGGTTTGTTTCCATACAATATTCCAGAGTTCATCCAAAAAAATGCTTGCATGAGATTTCCCCGGCTTTGGTGTCCCGAGGGCAGAAAGAATGTGCCCTCCTTGCTTTGCGGAGCTCCCGGTCTAGTAGTAACTCAATATATATTTACTAAACAGGATGAAGGAAGGGTTAATAATGAATACATGATGAAGCAAAGTAAATAGGCCTCAAAGCTTGAGGAACAGGGAGTTTTCTAGCTCAGAATTGAAGGTAGAGGCCAGGCGCAGTGGCTTACGCCTGTAATCTCAGCCCTTTGGGAGGCCGAGGCAGGTGGATCATTTGAGGGCAGGAGTTTGAGACCAGCCTTGCCAACATGGCAAAATCCTATCTCTATCAAAATACAAAAATTAGTCAGGCAAGGTGGCAGGTGCCTATAGTCCCAGCTACACAGCAGGCTGAGATGGCAGAATCCTTTGAGCCTGGGAGGCAGCGGTTGTAGTGAGCTGTAATTATTCCACTGCACTCCAGCCTGGGGGACAGAAAGAGACTCCGTCAAAAAAAAAAAAAAAAAAAAAAAAAAAAGAAGAAGAAGAAGAAGAAGAAGAAGAAGAAGAAGAAGAAGAAGAAGAAGAAGAAGAAGAAGAAGAAGAAGGTGGATAGCCTGCCTGCTGTGGTAATCAAGACTTATTCTAACCCGTTTTGTTGTGACTGGCTCAGATTTCACTACATGGTTGGGAAGAGGCAAGAGCTTAGAAGCAGACAATCTTAGACTGCCTATGCAAGGAAGCCCTCACCGTATTCACAGACAGTGCTATCTCTGAGACATCAGGACAGTCCTTGAAATTTAAGGAAGTGAACCATGGGTTCCTTAGTGACTTCAACCTGAAAGACTAATCCCAACCCCAAGTAGTGAGCTCAAAGGTATTTGATGAACTTCAGCTGTCCTAACAGGAATATTTGCTTCATAAATATTATTACCTAGATCCTTTTATGATCATAAGCATGAGGATGACTGGGTTTTCCCACTCCTGTGTGAGATGTGCCTCCCTCTAACCTTATTACAACATTGACACCTTACTCATTTGACATGAAAAAAATAATATTATCACCTGAACTTCAAGTGTAACTCCAGCAGCTGCCCATAAGCTTCTCTCAACTCTGGATCTAGTTTGTAGGACTAAATTAACCATTTGTAGTTTCTGGATAATATAAGTAGTAAGTGGGTTTTGTTATTGTTATTATAATGCACATTTCCTATAGTAAATATTATTTGTTTGTTTTTTGAGCTCCCACACGTATTGCTGGGTATACCAAGAATGCAAGGCCCTCTGCCCTCTTTACCCAGGACATTTCTCAGGTGTGGCTTTGCTGTGGCCAACCATGAAGGATGAGGTTGTGTCACTTGAAACAAAGAGCAGGTGTATTTATTGCTTTCTGTAAAAGCAGCGTATTCCTTAAGCTCAGTGCTCCTTTTCTGTGAAGTAAACCTACTATGTGTGCACCATTCATCTGGGCCTGTGGTGTCACCCCTCTGGGACTTGGGGACAAGGGGAACCTTTGCAAACATACTGATGCTCATGTTATGTCATGAATAATAAAGTGCTTGTCTCCGACCCAAGAGTCTATGTCTTCTACCAATGTTCATGAAACAAGATGCTAACTTATTTACTTTTAAGTAGGGTAACATCAAATCCCAGTTCCTTCAATTATGTGTTACTTTTATAATAGCAAAGCAGTTGCTATGATTACAAAATTAGGAAGTATTCTTTTCTAACAAATGGTTATTTCCTTCCAAGATTCTCTTGGTAGCCCTGATTAAAAACCACTGATACGTTTCTCTAAACAAAAGACAAAAAATGGGATTCTAAGTCATTACATTTAATAGTTCATTTCAGATTTTAAAAATACTGTATTTCTCAAGCTTGTATTCCTCAGCTCTCAGCAAAATTCAATTTTCTAGTAAAAATAATTCTACTGCTTAGACTGAGGGTGTGCCCTGCAGCCATCTCTTTCCATGGTTGGCATCTGCAGTGAGCTCCCCATGTAGCCTCGCATATGCCTGGTAGTGGGCACAGGTCTCTGTCCACACACCGTGCATTCCTTATCCCCCATCCCTCATTCTTCAGTGGCAGCTAAAGCTGCTGATTTTCCTAGGTCCAGGAAATTTCCTTGCCTTCTCTAAACATTGACCTCTATCTTTTCTTCTTAGGGAGAAGCATTATCTTCTTAGGGTCCTAAAATTCATAAGCTCTGGACTTGGGTTAGCAGGTGGGTAGGAAGGAGGAACCCACCAACTCACATTTTTAGAAACTCGAAGGAGACCTGCCTA